CACCAAATATGAAACAGCCTGGTTTAAAAAAAAAAACCTAAGTACCAGGCAGTAAGTTGTTGAGTAATTTCAAAATGAAGACTTATGGTTGCAACAAATCAGAGCTATTCAACGTTTTAAAATGAAAAATGGTCTGTTTTAATTGAGGGGTTGTCAGACTTGCACCCCACCCCTCCCCCCAGCATTTTTCATCTAGGGTGAAATTGGGAAATGAACAGTTGCCATTTATTTTATCAGGCTTTTATTTTCCTCGTCTTTTTTAATTTTATACCTTCAGCAACAAAAATATTGAGGAGGGGAGAGCACAGACGTTGAAAAAAACCCAATACCCAAGCTCCAAACTAGAAAAAGTCCAATATAGGAAACATTTTTTGCCATACAGAATATTTGTTATTTTTCAAGATACCCACCCCCAACACACTTTTTTTCAGCATCTTTACCATAAGCATATCTGCAGCTTTCCTGTTTCCTAATGTTTTACACATGTGTTTATCAGATTAGCACGCTTCTCCTATAAGATAAAGGAGCACCTAACTATTCAGCTCAGCTGTCTGCTACATGTACATCTTTTCACTTTTAAGGCTATACGTTTTTTTTTTTTTTATTAACGTTTATTCTTGCGATCTCTGCAGAAAGAGCAGCTCTGGGTGAGGGAGTTGGATTGTATTCCAAGTGCAGTAGCATGAACAAAGATCCCCAAGTAGGCTCAAAATGCATAGCATATGCTATTGGTAATGAAGAAACCAGCCTGACAGTAAGAGTTTGCTGGCTCGACAGCTGGAAAAAATCATAATTTTACTTTTCCACATCACATCTGCTCAATTTAAACTGCTGAAAGATAATCAGCCCGGACCCTCCTGATACCAGTTTTATGGAGTTACCTTTCAGAGCAGGAATATATGTTGGCTCCTTGCAACATGTCCTGCAATTCTTTATTTACTATTTTACTCTGTTCATATCAGACCCTGGCAGTGACATGAAATGACTTCTAGTGGAATTACATTTTGATTCTTATTTGCACCTGCAGCGTCTGGGGGCTGGACTAGGTGTCCTTCTGAGGTCCCTTCCAGCCCTACTTTCCTTTGATGTCTTTTTAGAGAAAACAATTTATAGTTAGAAATTATTCTCTTGACAGGAACTAGAATGAAGTGTTGGGACATGTATCACTATGAAACACCTCATTTCAGGTTATTCACATCCTATTCCACCTGTTCATATGCTGATTCGCTTTTGTGTGTCCCATCAATAAGACATAATTTAAATCAGCCTTCACTCCCTTTTCTGGCTCTGCAGTGGTGGCAGGTCTGTGTGTTTAAAGCTTAATGTTTAAATAGCAGATTTAACAATATTTTAGACCAGTGGTCTCCAAAGTGGGGTGTGCAAGACGATCCATTGGGGTGCAGGAAGAAAATATTAGAACTTCTATTTATATTTATATAAATATACATATATTGGGGGTGCACGCTCAAATTTTTTTTACTGATAGTGGTGCATGATCAAAAAAGTTTGGAGACCACTGTTTTAGACAGTCCAATAGGACAGATTGTTTTTCAGTGCATTGGGTTTGCATAAGACCTTTCTTCTCTTGCTTTTTTTACTTTAAAGTGTGCAACAGAATCATTCAACTCTTGAAAGAAAATCCTATACTTTGGTCTAGCCCATTGATTACTTTTTCTTCATTTGCCTTGGGGATCATTGTTGATAACTGACACTTTTTACCCACCCATTCTCTTGATGCTGAGAAGACCTCTGCAGCAATCTCATATCCTGGTAGGTTAAGATATGCCTGAGGCATATTATGGCTCAATTGTGAGCCCCCAGCCAGGCTCATGCAAAACTTTATCATCAGGCTACTGGGCTGGTCCTCTATTTGTCTGTTGTACAGAAGAAAACCCATCCCAACATAAGCATTTGTGATTGCATTATACCTTCAAGTTCAATCACACTCCCATTAGAGATCAGGACTGACTCATTCCCCATTTTCCCAGGTCAGTTAGAACATTCAGTTTGTACTATGGAGATACTTTAAAATGTAACTGTAAAGCTGAAGGCCTGCCTGCCTTGTGAAGATACCAAATAACCCATGGAACAGAGTTTTTCTAGGTGTCTTGGCAGTGCAACCATTGATTTATACACTTGCCTCCAAAAGGGGCAGCACATAACGATGTGAATAATTTGAGTCATGCTTTGGGAGCTCTGCATAGGCACAGAAAATATTATTGAGATTGCTGTATGTAAAACATACCTCTATACTGAAGTTTCTGTGCTCTATTGTTTGGGCAATCTTTTCCCTGTAAACTAAAGTTGATATTAGTTCGGATACATCGATTGTTGAGAGGCTGGACTGGTCTGAAATTGTCACTCATGCTCAGAAATATCTGTGATGGTTGATTCTGGCTTAGTAGTCGTAAAGAATGCATCTACACAAAATACAAAACGAGGACTTGTAATACTATTCTTCATCATTAGTAAACACCATCATCCCAAATTAAGTAACAGAATATAGTATTATACAGTAAAATTAAACCAAATTTATGTGATTTGGTATCAAGGGGAGTTTCCAGAGATGCATTAAAGGCAAAGGCCATTCATTCATGGTAACCCAAAACACTCTGCAGGGTACATGAAAATTACTTAAGGAAATTATGGCTGATCAAGAAATAAAAGGAATCCAAAGTTCTACATGGAGGCAGCAGCAGATGCAGGGAAGATGAACTAAAAGGCATGGTGCTAGCAGCTTTGGAGACTGCAATCCTTTTAATCCTCTGATTCATCTCTTTTGCTTAGCACCACTGTAGTTATCTTCATACTGGTACTCTAAGGGGCTTTCCTAACTTAGGACACCCTTATGGGCCAATATCTACCCAGTGACCCATTGTGAAGGTGGTTTTTGCCTTAGGGACACTTGCATACAACCCACCACCTAGCTAACAAGTGGTAGTGGCTTTACAAGTAGCAATGAAGATGGCTGAAATTTTTCAGCTGAAACCTCTTGTAACTGAGAAATGCAGATTCACATCAACCAACACATTTTCGAATCCTCATTTTGTACATTACTTCTGGAAAGCAACAAACATGTTTCTTACAGAAAATGTGCTTCATGTTTGCTTGGAAGTTTAGAATGTATAACATGTATCTGTTTTTTCCACTGAACTGTGTCATTCTCCTAAATTAGTCCTAATTCTCTGAATCCATGCAGAATTGAACAGAATGAATACTTCATGGTTAAAATGGGTTTCAAGCTTCCTTCAGACATCTTATTTGCGAAGTGAATATGATTTGAAACCCCCAAATTATTTTGAGAGCTGATTTCTCATCCTCCCTTTCCTTATATTTCTCAGACCAAGTTACTCTTGCTGCTTTAGTATGGTGGGGGAGGGCAGGCAGTGTTTTTAATATTCCCTGAAAGTTGACATAGTGAGGAAATAGCTCTGAGATCTGCTAAGTGATCTGTAGGAGTCTCACTGATGAACACTGCACTGGGAGATGAGCTTGATCAGTGCATTTCTGAGGCTTTCACTGAGCAGGGTGGGGTTTAAAGCAATTGAATCACTTTGGCATGTTCCCCTTGTAGTAGTCTTTCAATCCATGTGTTCCTTGGATATGGCAGTCTTGACTATGAAATGGATATGGCTCCTTCTGCTTGCTCTGCGCTGTTGCTGTCTGTGGCCTGCAATGCATCTTTTTAGAACAAATGTCCTATATCTCAACTTCTTTGCCTATATGCTGGCATCAGTTCTGCCCTTCTGAAAGTACCTGTGTCATAGCCTGTGTTTTTACTTGAATTTGCTGCCCCAGTTCTTCATGAGACTGCTATTGCTGCTCATTAAATGTTCTTATTTTTGTCTTGGCCTGGGTCCCTATTAGGCTTCTGAAGCTGGGCAATCCTTATAAGGCAACAAAGCCACGATTATTTCAGTCTTTCATTTAATATTTATTACTTTTAACATGCCACCATTTAGTTAGGTTTTGCATAATATACCTAAATTGCATGCAGAGATGGCTGCACCAAAGAGCTGATGCACAAGTGATAATACAAAGATATGCGTTTAAAATCTTCTTCTTCTGCTGATCATACTAGATCCAATAAATGCTTTTGCTTTACCTGCATCCTTGTTATGTAGACAGGTTTGTTCATTATTATCCAACTTGCTGTTTCATAGCAGGGTGGGATGGTCATTGACCCATCATATGTAATGAAACTAGAGGTCTCTGGATAAAGTTCCTCAATATTGAGTCCCTGCAGTAAGTATGCATCATCTGAGAATAAAGGGGGAGAAAGGTCTAGATAAAGCAATATTTTCACAAGACAAACTTTGTTGTACATGCTCTTTACTCTGGAAGAATCTCCGCCTCGGTCTCACTGGAATATAAAGCAGAATCGCTTCACATAGGCAACTGTTTAACATACTGGACAAGAACAAATATGATATGGTAATCTTGTCTGGGTCAAATTCTGCCTTTAGATGCTTATGCATAGGTCCCGTTGACTTCAGTGGGAATTCAGCACAAGCATCTATGGAGAAAATCTGGCATTCAGCTGGGGACTTGAGCTTATAAAGTATCTGATCTACTGATCTGGATGCAGCAGTCTTTGGAGAATGCCGACTTACTGTATTTTTTGGAATGATTAACATGTTTTGCCTGGCAAAGCATTGGGAAGGCCAAGAGTGTTAAAGCTTAATTACCCTTGTACCACGGAAAAGATTGTTCCACCTTGTTAAGGTTAATATATGATAATAAAGCTGCTCAATGAAGCCTGATGTCCTTTAGTGTGCACAGTGGGAGTGAAAGCAGTGCAAGCTCACTCAGAATGCTAAAGTCAGGGGTGAGAAAATCTGCTGTAAAGCAACTTACTGGGCTCCCCACTTTTATCATATCCTCGCTGGTAATTAACGAGCCGTCCCTTTGTAGAAGATTTCAGCGTGTGGACATGAGCCAGTGCATAATTAGAAATAGATATATCTTTTAAGAGTCATCAAAGCTGCTCAGCCCTTGCTAAGCTGCATGCATTATTGCTGCTGTATAATGTTGGCTTGATAGTGCTTCTGGCAGATATTTCAAAGCTGTAACTTGGATTTTTTTTTTCCAGGATTCCCTCTTGAAATTCAGACTCCAGGAGTTCCTTCCTAGACTGTTTGCAAGGATGCATGCACTTAACCTTTTTAACTGTTCCCCCTGCAGGTATTATGCACTGCTGAGAAAGCTGGAATGGTTAGGTAATGGGGAAATCTCAGTTGCATGTAGTGTGCTTAGTCTGGTTCATTAGTACAGCAAATGTTCACACTTAGGCAAAGAAGATGTGCTGTCAGGTTGCGGACTAAGCAATTTCTTTTGTTTCCTTTCAGTCCATGAATGTGAAGATTCATATGATTAAATGTGAGGACATGGTCAGGAAGGCCAACCGTACCTTGTCATGCATCCACAGACAAGGTGTTGGCCAAGGAGGTGATCCTGCCCCTCTATGCAGCATTGGTCAGGCCGCAGTTGGAGTACTGTGTCCAGTTCTGGGCGCCGCACTTCAGGAGGGATGTGGACAACATGGAGAGGGTCCAGAGGAGGGCCACTCGCATGATCAGGGGGCAGCAGGGCAGGCCCTACGATGAGAGGCTACGGGACCTGAAGCTGTTCAACCTTCACAAGAGAAGGCTGAGGGGGGATCTGGTGGCCATCTATAAACTGGCCAAGGCGGACCAGCAGGCTATGGGAGAGTCCCTGTTCCCCTGAGCACTACCAGGAGTAACAAGGAGTAACGGTCATAAGTTGACTGAGAGTAGATTCAGGCTAGACATCAGGAGGCGCTACTTCATGGTCAGGGTGGCTAGGATCTGGAACCAACTTCCAAGGGAAGTAGTACTCGCTTCTCCCCTGGGGGTCTTCAGAAGGAGGCTGGACAATCACCTAGTCGGGGTCGTTTGACCCCAGCGTCCTTTCCTGCCCATGGCAGGGGGTCGGACTTGATGATCTGCTCAGGTCCCTTCCGACCCTACCAACTATGAAACAAAATTCACACTGACATTGATGGGAGGGGTGGAAGCAGGTGCAGAGAAAAAAAAGTGTACTAAGATTTCTGTTCAGACTGAAGCAGGCCATTTTGAAACCATATCAAAAGGGTAAAAAATTCCCCTTCAGTTTATCAGAAGTTTTCCATGCATCACCATATTAAGGTATATTTAACAAGGGGAAAAATGGAAAATCAGGTTAACAAACCATTTATAATCAACATATTTTAGACTAACTATCAAAGAAAAGAAAGAAGGAAGAAAGATTTTCTTTTGAAAATGGTAATTTTTCATGTTCACCTTTAAGGACATTATGAAGTTCATGCTAAATTTTAGCTGCGGTAAGTCAGCGTGTCCAGTTCAGGCTTCATTTTAGAGAGCTGACAAATCAGGAAATGACTGCATTTCACTGCATTTTTTTCCGTGAAAAACAGCTACCAAAGCATGGTCAACTGTGTGCTGACTGAAGAGAAATAAGCCATTGAGCCTTTGACTAATTCGGTTACAATACGTGTCAGATAAGCCACATTTCTCCAGACGTCACTCATGAAGTATCTAAGCTGAATTTATTCATACTTCCTTTAACTAATACTTTGCATCCCTGTTCTACTAAAATGTTGAAACCTGCTGTTTCAGTATCCTCAGTTACAAAAATTGTTGACATGAAATATCATCACTCAATATTCACAGTATCGTTGCAGTTACAAAACAACCCTGTCTTTTCTCTCCTCCATTTATTGTCTCTTCCTTCTCCTTTAAAAGGAAGAATAAAAAAGGAAGAACTATTTAAACAATCGAGTAAAAACACAACAATTAAAGAAAATCCAAAAAAGCCCCCATAGTTGCCGAAGGGCAAGCTTACGCAAGTAATACACTTATTTGTCTTTGCACATATCAAACTCCTGCTTCAGGCAGCGGACAGTCGAACGTAATGGCTGCTGTTGTGGCAGTCCACCAGGGCCATCCACAGCTAAAAGCATGAGTCGCTACAGCATGAACTAAATAGCCAAGGCCCCTCGTTAGGGATGAAGGAGATTCCTCTCCTCTGTAGACTGGGTTGAGAGAGAGACTGGTAAGACTCGCTGATTAGCAGGCAACGCATGAGCGACCAGTTTTCCATTTAAAATCTGTTAACACTTTATTTCGGGAAAGATGGCTTTGCCATGGGCTTTCTTGGTTGAGTAAAATCTACACCCCCACCCCTTTTCTAACATGAAGCCAGTACAAGTGTACTTTCACAGATCAGTTTTTGGACTCTACTAGGAGAGTGGAACACGTTGCCGCTCTTTCCTAGGGGATACTCGGTCACTTTTGTTAACGTGTTCAGCCTCAAATGGCCCAAAGCCTGGGGTACAAAGAATCTGTTTCCAAGCCAAAAAATGTTTCCTATGAAAGTGCTAAACTACTCCTGTAGCATTACTGAGCCAGCAGGCTATTAAATTTTAACAGCTAGAGATGAGTGAATACACCTGAGCCCTATTCATAAAAAAATATTTGCAGCACAACAATAATTTTGCTGGAATTATGTGAGGCACAGAATGCATTTTTTTCACACCAGTGATTATTTTCTGTGAGTCATCACATCTCTCTCCTTTCCCACATGAACATTCTGCACATTATTTATGAACCGCAGAGAGTGGCGCATGAGCTCCAAATGGCAGGGATTCAGTCGAAACGGTTTCAAATTCGGAGGGCCAAGTTCTCTTTGTCTCATCCACATCTGGCATTGATGGGATGCTAGTGGCTTAAACGAAGGCAGAATGTGTCCCAAAGTATTTTTCAAGAGACTAAAGTCTGACTTAAAAATCAGTGAAGAGCAGGAACATCGGTGACTCAAGGTTTTTTATGTCACATTTATTTTAATTCACATGCTCTGTGTGGGGTCCACTAATTAGGATCACATACAGAGCATCCAAATTAAACTAAACGTGACACAAAAAAACCTTGAGTTGCTGATATTCTACATTGCAACATATCCTTTAGTTATCCTATAGCAAGGGATTATGTGGACGATATGAGGCCAAAGTCTCTGCTTCGGGAACTGCAAGCAATTGCCTTGGGTCCAGGGGATTTGCTCTTGTTTAGGTTTATAACAAATGTAGCCCATTGTTCTTAAGGGCTAGGGACAGAAATTACACACAAACCTGTATAAGTGATTGGAAACGGATTCAAATGTGTAATACAACAGAAGATCAGTGTACATAAACTGCTTTCAAAATGGCCAAAACAGGTTTAGGATAACTCGGTATAGATGTAGTATCAACCTTAACTGATTTAGAAGTTCAGTAAACCAGTTTAACCTATCTCAAATCCCCTCCAGATTCATGTTAACTCATAGTCCCCCAAAATCTCAGAATGCTTTAGACCTCCCCTGCAAACCTCGCATTGCAGGGTGGGTGGGCTAACCTTTGCCCAAGCTGTCCGCTCTAGCACCCCCCAGCTTCTGGCCTGGGCCACTGCAGGCATGTGGCTGCATTTCCAGAATCAAAAGTGAACGTCTGTTCATTTGCTTATCGGTTCAATCTACGCAGCTTAGACTAACCTGCAAAGATTGGACTGATTCAGTTTCGGGCTTCTTGACTGTCTGTACTCGGCCAAGATTGCCCTGTTCAGTTACCTTCAGACAAAAGACGTGACAAAGGCCCATGTTGGGTCAGCGTGGGGAACCCACCATCCAAGTTGTTCAGACAGGCATAATGCATGTTAACATTCATGAGCGAGACACTTTGTTAGGACAGAGCAGTGGGGACTCACTTCTGTGCTTGGGGTAGATGTGAAGGGACAAGGGAAACACCTGCTGCAGGATCACTGCATTCAGCTCAGAGGCTGCCTTTGTGTTATGGGCCTTCATAAGGAATGGGAGATGGGAGCACAGAGACTGCTTGCACTTTCTTTTTCCTTTGCATGCTGATGGAAGAGCCAGGCACTATCTGCCATGAATTCATTTACTATTTATATCCTTGTGCTGCCTCTGTTTGCTTCCTGTGAAGTACTGCATACTGCTGTACCATTTGTGTTCGCAGTAACTCCACAGATGAAAGCTGCGGTTAGAAGACAGCGCTGCATAGATGAGCCAAGAAGTAAATGTCAGGGCTTTCTGTGGATGTGACAATGTTGAGGGTAGCAGGACAACTGAGTACGCGAGGGTTGGATTTTGAACTTGAAAAGGCAGACATAGACTTAGATGGGAGCAAGGTGCTTTTATACAGGAGGGAACACAGATAATTCTTGACTAAACAGACATGACATAGAAGCAGT